TACTTTGGTTCGCTCCCTTTCGTGGCCGAAGTCCATAAATATTTAAGCCTTGACAGGGTTGCTATCTATACTCTTAGCTCCTGACTGTGGCCTCGTTGAGCAGGTGGAAAGGTATTTGTACAATGCACCACATTGCCTTTCTTTTTTGCTTCCAACTACCGTTCACGGAAGCTGTAGAAATAATACCGATTTGAGTCATGGGTAAGGGTTCCTTATAAGCAACACCATGGTTTACTATAACATAAAGGCAGGACTAACTTTAGAGGTCTTTTTTGCTTTTTAATACTAATAATAATAACAACCTACTTTTACATTTTTAGTAACCCGACTTTCTCTTTTTATGTTAAATTCTATCAATAGGAGGTCGACTTTCCATTTACGTTAAACTTCGCCAATATAAGGTCAAATTTCCCTCAATTGCCATCCGTATCATGCGCAACAGGAGTTTATGCTCATTTAAATTTAGTCAATCTAGTATATTGAAACAAATATAATTTTATTTATTCCGGCAAAATTAAATTTTCATTTAAACTAACTAACCGCTAATTAAAGGTTTGACCACAAACTACGTTGGGCAGTTGGGCGGGAATAGATATCTACAGGACCCTACAAGTCAGTTTTGTCAATATAAACGATTAAACTGAAAACTAAGCTAAACTAAAACTAGATAATAAACTGAAAAGTTAACTTCAATAAACTTAACCAAAACTAATAAAACTGAATAACAAACAAGTAAACTAATAGCTAAACTGAATAATAAACTACAACGAAATAAGTAGTCAGTTAGGCTATAGTAAACTACCGTGTTGCTTGCGAGGAGTCCTTACCATAGGGATCTCGCGCAGTAATTCATGAAACAATAGGAGATACAAGAGTAGACACTTCATATTCTGAATCAGGCGCCCAAACCAAATGGCCGACGAACCCTTCCCTTCATCACGAAGGTTTCTCACCTCTTCCACGGACACCTATACAGCGCGAACATCCTCAGAATTGGACTGACTATATGAACGGAAAAAAAGATGTCATTTATAAAATTCCCTGTGATTCCTGCGATTCGTTATATTGCGGCCAAACCGGAAAAATCGGTTTCCGCGCGCATGCATGAACTTCAGTTAGCAAACCCACCTGTCCCGGGGTAGACACGCGCAGCCTGTATACTGGACGTGCCTCTGCTCGGGGCGGAAACAGCGTTGTTAACGCCTATCCATCTAGGAATGCAACTGAGAATTTCTCAAGGTCTAATTCAGATGAGTCAGTGCGCGCGGATGTCGCGCACAAAAGGAGGCAGAAAGGAATGTGAGGGACAAGACGGCAAACGCAAGCAAACTAGCCGCGTACAGTGACCGTTAATTGGCATAAACGTGGGACTTTTCTTAACTCTCCTTGCGCATGCATTTTGTATGAACTCCCAGTGCTTTCACACACACACGAGATTGGTAATTAACCCTTGCTGAGTTACAAGGCAGTAAGAAGTTTTGGTAATAGTTCCTCGTATAGTCGCCCTAATGGTAGTAGGAGTTGCTCTTATAGTTTTCTTGGTCTATGGGCTTCCTTTGTTAACCAATAGTAGGTGCTCTGATAGTTCTATAATTTCTCTTTTTTATTGCGAAGTTTTCACGCACCTATACGGCCCCTGGTTTGCCCCACTCTATACTTCCCCTTTAACCACGATTTCTGGGGGGACTCTTTCCAGTGGGCGGCCATACAAGGAGCTCGTACTGAAATTTGTTCGTGATCCCATCCCAGTTCCAACGTGATTCGC